CACATTAGAAGAGGGTGGGGATCAGTAATCATGAATTGCTAATTTAGTCCAACCCCTTTAGTTGACAGATCTGGAACTGGAGATGTTTAGGACTTGCCTGAAGTCTTATGTAACTCACTGAAGAGGCAAAGCCAAATCTCCTGTTCTGGACAGGATTAAGTGTAACAGAGCTCCCTGAGCCACTGTTCATGCCTCATTAGCATCTGGGATGGTATCAGGCACCAGCTAAGCAGCTGCAGTGTCTAACAGGGCAGGGCAGCCCAGAAGGATTCCTTGTCAGAGGGTGTCTAATACAATGAACAATTGCCTGTGAGCATAACTATCACTCTGCAGACTACGTGCTGGAAACAGCTCTCTTTTATGAAGGTACATCGGCTGTCTGCCTGTATCTTAATTGATTTAGGAGAAAGACTGTGTTACTGGCCTCAAAACCCATGGCAAATAGAAGCAATTTAGTTTCTTTCAAGGGGACTAGGTATAACTCTGACCCTCTCCAGTCTCAATGAGTCACTCTTTATGTTCTAAAAGCACATTATTTATATCTGTAGTTGGCAGGTGAGGTGAGTCACTTTCATTTTCTGTCATGAGAATGGTTCATATGTTGACAATGTTAACAGGGCTCACCCTGGGGACTCACGAGGTCCCATGCCAGACTGATCTGTACATTGTAAAAGCAACATCAAATAATGTAATAACATAATTTTCTCATCCATGATTATTTCCACTTACCTGAGTGAGAAATTGAAATGGAGATAATAAGAGTGACCTATTTTAGTGGCAGGATTAGGAATAAGAAACAGATATTGTCTCACTGAATCTGCATCTGTGCTTTTGGGACCAGGACACAGAGCTTTTCCTGTCTTTCATTTCACAGAGTAATAATAATAAAAAAAGAGTAACCTCTGGGGGGAAAAACTTTAAAGTCAGTTTGGCCTAAGACGAACTGACGTACTATTTGCAGTCAGATTGTTTAATGTGGAAGGAACGTGGTTAAGAATATAGATAGTCACAGGCCATTTGTAATGTGTAGCATATAAGGGCACTTTCATTTCTGAAAGAGATCTTGAGAATGATGCTGATTTTAGAAGTTGGCTGACCCTGTCCCAGCTCTGACTTCAGCACTACCAGATAGAGGATTCCACTGACTTATACAAGTAATCAAAAAACGTTATCACCCGGGTTTTAAAGTACATGTTATTATCCACTTTGCACCTAGGAAATCTCACCAGGTAGCTCTCATCGGCAGACACTTATCTGATTTCCTTCGTTGTTTTGGGCATGCGTGTGGTGAGGAGTCTGCAGTGCTCCCTCCTCACTTCATAGTTCAGGAATAAGTGTCAGACACTTATCATGGTTTATTTACATAGATGGCAGATGTAAGGATTGAAATTGAGGAGCGTGAGGAAACCCTGGAGCTTAAGGCAGCTGGACGGGTACTTTCACACTATTGGACCAATTGTGTTTTGGAAGCTCTTTGGAAATTAAAATGGGACAGACTTTCACTCATTAATGGTACATTGCCTGCAACGGTTCCTAGCTCGTTAAGCTATTGCTGCCCTCTGTGGACTCATGTGTAGCATTTTTGAGTACTCTTTTCAGTAGCTGATTTTGGGTAGTCCTCTTATAACAGGATTAAAAAACTGTTTAGGGAAGACTGCTAATTAATGTATGCCAAATTCTATTACCCTGGGTGGGGTGAGGCTAACTGCCCAACCTTTAGAATTCCAACTGGACAATTTCCAATACCCAAGTATGTGTTTTCTTCATGGACTTTTCCCGGCCTCTCTCATGCACATCTGGCCCTCTCTTGCTCCATTCTTTTTTTTTTTTAATTTTTATTTTATTCAGATGTGCATACAATGTTTGGGTCATTTCTCCCCCCTTCCCCAACCCCCTCCCTTACCCTCCCCCTATTCCCTCCCTTACCCCCCCTTACCCCTCGCTACCAGGCAAAAACTATTCTCCCTTATCTCCAATGTTGTTGAAGAGAGAGTATAAGCAATAATAGGAGGACCAAGGGTTTTTGCTAGTTGAGATAAGAATAGCTATACAGGGAGTTCACATCCACTGATCTCCTGTACATGTGTGTTACCTTCTAAGTTAATTCTTGAACTAACCTTTTCTCTAGTTCCACTGCTGGTGGGAATGTAAACTAGTACAACCACTCTGGAAAAAAATTTGGAGGCTACTTAAAAAGCTAGACATTGATCTACCATTTGATCCAGCAATACCACTCTTGGGGATATACCCAAAAGACTGTGACACAGGTTACTCCAGAGGCACCTGCACACCCATGTTTATTGCAGCACTATTTACAATAGCCAAGTTATGGAAACAGCCAAGATGCCCCACCACTGACGAATGGATTAAGAAAATGTGGTATCTATACACAATGGAATTTTATGCAGCCATGAAGAAGAATAAAATGTTATCATTCGCAGGTAAATGGATGGAATTGGAGAACGTCATTCTGAGTGAGGTTAGCCTGGCCCAAAAGACCAAAAATCATATGTTCTCCCTCATATGCCCCATTCTTGCCATAACTTAAACGTGGGAAGTCAAATAAGCTCTTCCATATCCTTACTCTCTATGCCAAACTGTCAAGAACACAGTGGGTACCAGATGACAGAGGATAGGACCCAGACCTGGACACAAGATTTTAGACTGAGGGATGTCTGTCACTCTCTGATGTGCAAAAACTAGGCTCTGGATCTACTCTACATATCACAGTTGTTCCTGGGTTTAGTTTTTGCTTTTTGCAAAAGACAGTGATGTCTTTTTTTTTTTTTTTTTTGATATTCAGGAAGACTTGCCCAAATTTTTGCCACTGAGATTTCTTATAAAGATAGATTAGGGATCCAAGGAGGGCTGTGTTCCCACGGCTTAAATGGCAGCCTTTGAATGTTGGTGGCATGTCTGGCCACCACCCTCTCTCCTAGCAACCCCTATCCTCACTGCTAAGGATACATACATGAAGACTAGTTTCACATAAGGCAGTGCTGCACAGGGAGAGAGCAAGGCTTGCTTTTTTCTCTGTCTTCTTTTGGAGTTTCAATTTTCAAAGATCGAAAAATCTTGGCTTTACTATGTATTAACTAGGCATAATTCTTAACACCTTATTTCCTCCCTTTGTAAAAGTTGGAATATTACTGCATGTGTCCATAGCCTCATTGTGGGGGTACAATGCTTTCCTACACAATGAGGTAGCACGGTATACAGCACACAGTAGGTCTGCTGTTGAATAAGGCCTGAGTCCAGTGGAATACACCCCTTCTCCTTGGCGTGCCTGTGGTCACCTTCTGTAATTTTCCATGATGCTGTTCCCTTTCACCATGATCACCAAGGGGGTCTTGTGGGTGATTCTGTCTTCCTGTACTTTTCCTTTTACAGTTGGCGGCAGCTCCCCTCTGGATGAACAGGAGTCTTGGCAAGGCCCAGGGCCCAGGAGCAGAGTTTTAATGAGTTCTTTCAGTAGGAAAAGGGGGAGGAGCTGAGGCATCTTGTGCTCCTAACCTGCAGTTCAGTACTGCAAGTACCATTTCCTCAAAGCTGATGAATGTGGATTATTGTGTCTCCAGGAAAAGACTGTGGAGATTTCTCTCCAAATTGCTGGAGTAAGAAGTAGAAGTGAGATTAATGATCATATGGAGGTCTGAGCTGATGGTCTATTTGTTTTCATTCTGAAAACAAGTGTGGTTTTAGATTATGTAGACTTCCCCTCATTTACTTAGACAAAAAAGACTATTCACTAAGGATATCAGGAGAGACCAGGGCAGAGACCGATCCTCCCAAAGCTGTCCCCTGCATGCTAAAAGGCAGAAAAGGAAATTTAGGTTGTTGGGAATGAGAATGAGAGATTGATCGGAAGGCAAATTATAAACTCATTTCAACTCTTGGCCTGCAGGCTGTGAAGTACCATTCTTTGTTGTCAAGGATGGAAAACAACTCAGATGCAGGTCCAAGTGATCATTTCACGCTGACACTGCTGCCTTTCTGCCAGCTGCAGTTCCATTAGACATAGACTAATTAGTCAGGCAGAAGCGGAAGTGAGTTGGGAGATCACAGCCAACGGAGGCAGCCCTACAGTGGAGGCCCTGAGTTGGGGTCTGGAGACCTGGCCCTAGGCAGGGCAACCGCTTTAATGTTAAACTCACAGCAAACTTGGGTAAGAGAGTGCAGTTAGAAAAGACTCTAAACTTCTGCAGTAATACGCCTTACATGTCTGCTGACTTTCTCAATGCCAGCGAATCACAGGAAACCTTCTCATTTAGTTGCCAGGAGCTTGTCCCCATGGAGACAGGGTGGACCCACACTCTGCAGACCTGAGCCCCCTATCAGTCTCTGCTTTGGCCTCAGATAAACCAGGCTGAATTTTATTATTCCTGCACGTGAAATGAGAACGTGTGTGTGTGTGTGTGTGTGTGTGTGTGTAAGGGCAGAATCTACACGATCTAAAATATATATGTGCACACACACACACACACACAGCTATTACTTGAATTATGGACAGATGGGATAAAAATGATGAAACCCGTTGGGAAAGCGGGCTCTGCATTAGTTAATTGAGGATAGCCTCATTAACACATTTCACATGAAAGGCTTAGTCTCTTTCCAGAATATTCCCATTCCAGGGCATTTTGCCTGTACCTCTTTCTGATTTCGCTTTTATCTTAGGGGACCCACCTATTTCCCCCTGGAGTTTCCTCAAAAGCTGGGACAGCGTGAGGTGCATCCTCCTCCCCCATCCCCAGTTCCTCCCTGAGAATAAAGAGCTGGAGAGCAGCGGGGCGGGGCGGGATCAGGGGACCAGGCTGCGGTGGCATCCTCAGGTCACAGCCCACCTCAGGAGGTGACCCTGGCGCAGCGCATAGGAGCGGTCAGCGCTGTCCCGCCCGCAGCCGGCGACCTTCCGGGGCGGTGCTGCGCTGCGAGCTTTGGGCGAGCGGCTTGGCCGGGCAGCGCGAGGCGCCTACAGGGCGACATCGGGGGTGTGTGGGGGGGACCCTTGGAGGCGTGCGCATTCCTTCCTTCCCTGAGGATTTTCTGCTTTCGTGGGCTTTCTTCCCCAAACGGTGGCGCCGAGCGGGGTTGCAGAGGGGGCAGCACTCGCACTCGGAACCCGACTGGAAGCCAGCGCGGTCACAGCCTCCAAAGCTGGCGCGCCAGTTGGAGCAGCACTTTGGCCTCTGCGCGGCTCTCCTGGCGAGGTTGGCTGCATCGAGTTGTTCCTTTTCGTGAGAAAGTGCTGTGCTCGGCTTTGCACCCTCCTCTACCCTTGTTAAACCTTCTTCAGCTCATGTTTAAAACCAGATACTCTGCATTTTGCTCGCTAAGATGCGGAGAGGGAAAATACCACCCTGCTTTGTTGGGGGGGGGAAAGGCTGAGTAATACTTTTCCTAGGAGTTGTTTGTTATGTCCTCATCGTATAAACTTTGCGATAGCACCTGTGTTTAAAGCATGAGCATTTACGAGGGTTACTCCTATCTTTATATTGTAGATTCCTTTCCGTTTCAAAGAAAGAGGCCAAGATAACTTTTGTCCCCTGGAGGAACGACGTAGCCATCCCCTGACCTTTCCTGGTGCACCAGGTAAGCGAGTCTTAACAAATGTCTTAAGATCCGCTTGCCTCTGTACTATCTCAGTTGTGTTCGGTGTTCTGGATATGTTTGAGGTGTGTTAAATCTCATTTTACTTTCAATAGTTTGATGATTTTTTTTTTTTGCCATTTATCTTTTCTCAGAGTGACAAGTGTCTTAATATCACAGTAGCGAAAATTCTATTTTTTTAAGTGTCCTCTTAAGCAGGGACAATTTGTTCTTCTTTTGGAAGTTGGGATAGAATATTAACCATTCTAAAATATTTACCATAATCTAAAATATTTACTATAAAATAATATGTATTGGTATTCTAATACTATTTACCATAAAATGTTTACCATGCTACAAAATAATTGTTGAGAAAAGATGTATCAGGAAATCGCAGACGGAACTTTCTCTTGAACTTACAGCACAACTCTGGTGTACCTCCTAGCGCTCTGAGAATAACACTAGTGGCTTATGTTGTTGGTTTTAGTCGAAGGATGAGTGTACCTCTCCAGAATGTTGTTTCAGTTCTGCCAGTACTTTTGAGTTTCTTTGCAATAAGGCATTTTATTGTATCTGGCAAGGCTGAACTTAAAAAACAAAAATAAAACAAGAGCTCTGGGGACATCATTAACTTTGTAGTGCAACTGTAAGAATTAGGAAGGTGTATATAAGGCTCCTATCTTCAGCAGAACCATCTTTTTTTAAGTTTTACTCTAGAAATGACTCAGTCACACTAACGATAAGGTAAGCTGTGCTCAGCATATACATCTGTCTTCAAAATGTCCCTTCTTCCGTTAACAAATGTCTCTAGAGGTTTTGTTATGATTTTGTATTTTTGTTTTTATTTCGGTACCCTAATTAAGATAAAAGAGTAGAAGTTAGTGAAAACATTTGGTTTTATTTGATTCTGTATTCATGAATTGCCTTGTTCTAAAATGATAGTACGTGTTTTTTTTTAAAGGAGTATATTTGAGTTACTAGCAAAAGAAAACCTTGATCAAAAGTTAATAATACAAAAAAAAAATAACTGAAGAACACGTCTTCACATATTCTCCCTTCCTTCCCTCCCTTCTCTTCTTCCTGGCACAGGCTTGGAATCCCAAGGCAGGGGAGTTAAAGTCTGGTTCAAATATTTAATAGCACTAGGCCATGTAAGTTTGCACTAGGGATATCCTTGTGTGCTGAGCACGTCCTTCATAGAGCTGGTGCCAGCAGGGTTCCTTCCCAGTGAATTGCCACTCACCGTACCTTTATCCTTATTCTGTCACTTGTTGCAGCTCACAGATGTGCTTCCTGCTTTTCCTCACCCTGAAATGCACCCACATTCCCTTGTCCATAATCCCCTTCCTCCTGTCAAGAAGAGATACACGTGTCTCTCTGTGTTGTTCCTCCCTTTCCCTGTGTTCTCGGTCCCACCTGTCTCCCCACCTTCTCCTGCCTGCTTGTCCCCCACTCACTGTAGCTGTGTTGGTCTCCATACTCTTCTTTCTACCTGGAATACTTTCATCGTCTTGCTCCTCTTGAATCTTCTACTCATCTTTAAAAACTCATCTTCACAGCAGTTTCTAAAGTGAAACATTTCTCTATGGATAATGGTTAGGCCTGAGAACCAGAGCCTGGCTCCTGTGAGATGCCAAATGAAGGAATGAATGAGCGAATGAATGAATGGATAGAAAAGAGTGAATAAAAAGATGGCTGGTACCTGAAGGTGTCTCCTCTCCTCCTACTGTATTCTCTTAACCCTTCTACATTCTTCTGCATGGGTGCATGTCATTGTATTGTCAGTACTGCTTGCATGATGGGTTCCTGAACTCACCCCTAAGCAGACCTTCCTTTTCTCATTTCAGTTCTCAGTTCCTTGACTATAGTGTCTGGGGAGTACAGACTCTGTAGACACAAAACCTTGTCGGCCCTATGCAGTTCTACAGACTCAGGAAACATGACTGACAAGTAACAAGAAATGATAGGTGATCCAGTCTTTTTTTGGGGAATGAAGCAGATAAACACAACCACGGACTGCATAACGATGACAGTGGTCCTGTTAGATTACATTGCCTGGTGATGCTACAGCCTTCTCAGTTTGTATATGTGTACTCTGTGATGCTCACAGAACACTGAAATCACCTAATGATGCATCACAAAGCATTGTTCAGAATGTATCCTTGTTGTTAAGCAATGCCTGTAACAATATGAAACCATCTTGGCAAGTTGATCATATTTGAAAAGCCAGAGAATTAAGTGGGGGAGCTTGTATTCTGTAAGTGAGCTGCTTTTGGATGTGTGCTCCACTTTTAAGATATTTTCATTTACTGGAATGAGGTGTGACATTAAGTCTGTAAGCTTTTCATGAGTGTCAGCTTTGACCATCTCAACTCAGACTTATGTTTCTGAGCCATGGTTTGTCCCCAGAACTTCCCCACTGGGACCAGAATGGGTATCTAGTGATGAGTATCTTCTAGCATGTGTTTTTCTTCCTGTTGATCAATATGTAATTAGGTCTTGTTTCTTGTCTTTCCTATTCTGTTTTGGGCCTCTGCTTAATTAGTGTCCTTTTTCTTCAAGTTAATTTCTCACCTCCAAGCCTGGCTTCAGCTTCTCACCTCCAGGGCTTGTTCCACTGTCCTCTATCCATGGAGCCTCCCTTCCTCTTGACCCTCCTGACTCTCCTTCATTTCCTGGGATTCAGTTGCTGGTGGTGGGATCATAGGAGGAACCTTTTTTTGAGCCTAGCCTAGGGTATTCTGGGCCATTGTGCCTCTGTGTCACCTTATTTTCTCCATTGTTTATAATTATTTACCTGTTAGAGGTAGTCTCTGAATTTTTAGCATCTAGCATATATCTCTCATATTCATACTCAAAGACAAATGTTGGAATGAATTTCTGGTATCTGAAAACACTCATCAGAAGTCACGGTCAGCCTTTTCATTTGGTGTGTTTGACAATGTGCCTGCCTTTCCTAGACTTCCTTCTTTCTTTTTAGCTTTTCTATTTTCTGTGCTACCATGGAGGCGAGGGATTTGAGCTTAGTCAATCTAACTCCAGCACCCAGCTTGCTTAGTTAAATAAAATTAAATGATGAAATCTGTTGAAATTGTTCTAAGAAAGGGGTGGAGGGTGTGAGGGAGAGTGGAAAAGGTGAATCTAATTAAGATACATTGCAAGCAGATATGTAAATATCAAAATGAATCCCCATACAATAACATATGCTAATAAAATGTTTTCAAAAAGTAAAGTAACCCCAGAGTCCATTTTTAGATGAATGGATAAGCAAAATATGGTGTATCCATACAATGGGTTGTTAGTCTTAAAAAGGAAGGAAATTCTGATACAATATGGATGAACCACCTTGAGCATACTATGCTAAGTGAAATAAGCCAGTCATGAATGACAAATATTGTATGATTTCACTTATATATGGTGCCTCACAGATTCATATTTATAGAGAATGGGAGTGGCGGTGGGTGGGCAGAATAGGGACTTGTCCAATGGGTACAGAGGTTCAGTTTCAAGATGAGAAAGTTCTGGAGATTGCACAATAGTCAATGTGCTTAGCACCACTGTACAGTGAATGGGCTTAACAAACTGAGTTGTGCACTTGCAAATGGTTAAGATGGTAAATTCTATGCTATGTGTATTTTACCACAATCAAAAATACAATCAAAATGTTTTCTTTTATAAGGATAATTATCTTTTAAAAGGAAAAAATTGAAAGAAATTTGTTTGACTGAGGGACTTTTCTTTGAGTTTTAGTTCTCCTTTATTCATACTTTAAAATCACTATTTAAACGTAAATAAATCTGTCTTTACATTTAAATGTATTGTGTATAAAACAAGCCATCTTTACTTTGGTAAGATCTTTAGAATTTATTTTTAGACCTTGTTACTCTTTGTTTTATTGCTGCCTATTTTTGCAGTTAAAATGTGATTCAGAATTACTCACTTCCTCACCTGTTTTTCTTCAGCAAAGATAATAGGATCTTAGTACTTATTCAGAAATACTTGTATGACACTTAAAAAATTACTTTTATGATTAAGAGCAGAAATGTTTGTTCTGTCACAAGCAAGAGGGTGTGACAAACTCTAGGGTGTGATTTGATTGCTCATAAGGAGCCAGCTATTTCAGTCTTTTCTGGGTTCCCCCTCCCCCCATCATGCTAATAGCCCTTTCTTGTGGAAAATCTGACTCTGAAAGTGTACCCATATGTTTGAAAAAGTGCAGTTTCAAAATGTTCAGCAACTCTGAAGAAACCATTCTCTTTTTGCTCAAAGTTTCTGATCCACAATGTAATCTCTTTCCTGCAGAATTTAAAACAAAACTGGAATCACATCAGCCTAGGAGCACATTGGCTGAGAAGAGAAGGAAGGCAGGAATGTAATGGAGTGGTGTAGCAAGGGCTGGGGTAAGAGTGTGAGGTGGGAAAAGGAAAGAATTGTAACCTGCTGGACACAGTCAATTTAATGTTAATGAAAGTTTTTAACATTATAAACTTGATCATATAGTCAAGAGCTCCCCAATAAAATTTATCTCTTCTTCTGGGCAAATATTTAATTCATGTTATCACTTTAAATTCTTTTCTAAAGTATTTAAAAATATTTGGTAATCATAAATATTACTTTTCCCTGGCTGGTCTTGAACTGTGATCCTCCCTATTTCCATCTCCTGAGTAGCTAGGATTATAGGCTTAAGCCACCACCCAAATGTTTTAATAAAGAGTTGTATTCTTTCAACTCAACAAACACATACTGAGGCTTACTATGTGTTGGATTTTAAATGGACATCGTGGTTACCAAATGCAAGTTTTTAGCTTGGAACCCAGTCTTTGCTGAAGGTCTCAGTCATCGACAGAGAAACGAGAAAAGTAAGCTGTTGTTTTTTTCTCAAACAGCTAATGTTCCCTTTAAAGGAATAACTTTTACCTTGAGGTTTTGGCATTTTCCTCCCTTGTTTGTTAAAATTTAAAATTATTTTAGGATAGCTAATTAATTACATTAATGTTTATTTT